GCAGAGGTTTTGGAATTCCTGGGGTTCCTAGGGGTTTTAAACCCCTGAGCCTTTATACTTTTTACGTACGTGTTGGCCAACCATTCCGTGGGCATCCCCAGGATTCCTCAGTGTTCCATGAACCCCCCGGTTTATACATTTTACGTGCGTGTGTCTATTTTGGATATTCATAGGTCAGCTGGAATTCACTGCCCCCTTAGTTTTATACTTTTCATGTTTTCTAGACACCCAAGTTGCTGAACTGAAAAAAAGAACATGTTTAATTTGCCGGTCGCCGTTCTTCCGAAAGCCTTTTTTGGCCACACCCCTCGCTTGTTGAGCCGAAAGAGCCGAACAGCATAAAGAATACAGGGTTTAAGACATACAAAACCAGAGCACACAGAAAAAACAAACTAGGAAAACACAAAATAATCAACACTTGTCAAACTCCAGGTTTTGATTGATTTTTTTGCCGTTTTTGTGTTTTTTTTTGTTTTGTTGTTTTTCTGGTGAATCTTGTCGGGTTGTTTTTGGCGATTCTGTGTTTTGATTGCGTTTTTTAAATGTTTTTCATGTTTTGCTAGAATCAACTTTCTCTGTTGAAGCCGGTGTCAGACTACAAGGGCAAATGAACAAAATTGTGTGTGTATCCAACCAAATCCAACCAGAACCACATCCAATCATGATTAACCCAGAAATGTATTCCAAGGAGGGGTGAGCCTGTCCCCCCCCCCATTCATACATGTTCGAACTTTCTTTTTCCTTTGATCCAAAAAAATATGTAAGGTAGTATTTGTTTGTATACAAGGACATACAAAAGGATTTGATTGGATGGTGTGTGTATCCAACCATATCCAACCATAGGTCCAACCATGTCTAAAGTCTAATCATATCGAACCCAGAAATTCAGAAAATGTATTCCAAAGAGGGGTGGGCCTGTCCCCCCTTCCTTTCATACATTTTTGACTCTTCTTTTTCTCTCGAGCCAAAAATTACTGTAAGGAGTTTGTTTTGATCCTTTTTGTATACCAGGCTTTTGAGCCGAACAGCATAAAGAATATAGCGGTTTAAAAAATACACAACCAGAGCACACAGAAAAAAAACAAACTAGGAAAACACTAAATAATCAAAACTAGTCAAGATTGTTTTTGTGGCTTTTGTTTTTTGTTTTTGTTGTGTTTTTTCTGGTGAATCTTGTCGGGTTGTTTTTGGCGATTCTGTGTTTTGATTGCGTTTTTTTAATGTTTTTCATTTTTTGCTAGAATCAACTTTCTCTGTTGAAGCCGGTGTCAGACTACAAGGGCAAATGAACAGAATTTTGTGTGTATCCAACCAAATCTAAGCAGGACCACATCCAATCATAATTAACCCAGAAATGTATTCCAAGGAGGGGTGAGCCTGTCCCCCCGCCATTCATACATTTTCGAACTTTCTTTTTTCTTTGATCCAAAAAAATATGTGAGATAGTATTTGTTTGTATACAAGGACATACAAAAGGATTTGATTGGATGGTGTATGATGGTGTGTGTATCCAACCATATCCAACCATAGGTCCAACCATGTCTAAAGTCTAATCATATCGAACCCAGAAATTCAGAAAATGTATTCTAAGGAGGGGTGGGCCTGTCCCCCCTTCCTTTCATACATTTTTGACTCTTCTTTTTCTCTCGAGCCAAAAATTACTGTAAGGAGTTTGTTTTGATCCTTTTTGTATACCAGGCTTTTGAGCCGAACAGCATAAAGAATATAGCGGTTTAAAAAATACAAAACCAGAGCACACAGGAAAAAAACAAACTAGGAAACCCCAAAATAATGAAGACTTGTCAGACTCCAGGTTTTGATTGTTTTCTTTTGGCGTTTTTGTTTTTGATTTTGTTGTTTTTTCTGGTGAATCTTGTCGGGTTGTTTCTCTGTTGAAGCCGGTGTCAGACTACAAGGGCAAATGATCGGAAATTTGTGTGTATCCAACCAGATCTAACCAGGACCACATCTAATCACAATTAACCCAGAAATGTATTCCAAGAAGGGGTGAGCCTGTCCCCATCCTCCTTTCATACCTTTTCGAACTTTCTTTTTCTCTTGATCCAAAAACATATGTAAGGTAGTATTTGTTTGTATACAAGGACATACAAAGGGATTTGATTGGATTTTGTGTGTATCCAACCATATCCAACCATATCCAGCCATGTCCAAAGTCTAATCATATCGGCATATCGAACCCAGAAATTCAGGAAATGTATTCTAAGGAGGGGTGGGCCTGTCCCCCCTTCCTTTCATACATTTTTGACTCTTCTTTTTCTCTCGAGCCAAAAATTACTGTAAGGAGTTTGTTTTGATCCTTTTTGTATACCAGGCTTTTGAGCCGAACAGCATAAAGAGTATAGCGGTTTAAACAATACACAACCAGAGCACACAGAAAAAAACAAACTAGGAAAACAAAAATAATCAAAACTTGTCAAGATTGTTTTTGTGGCTTTTGTTTTTTTGATTTTGTTGTGTTTTTTTCTGGTGAATCTTGTCGGGTTGTTTTTGGCGATTCTGTGTTTTGATTGTGTTTTTGTTTTTTATGTGTTTCATTTTTTGCTAGAATCAACTTTCTCTGTTGAAGCCGGTGTCAGGCTACAAGGGCAAATGAACAGAATTTTGTGTGTATCCAACCAAATCTAACCAGGACCACATCCAATCATGATTAACCCAGAAATGTATTCCAAGGAGGGGTGAGCCTGTCCCCCCCGCCATTCATACATTTTCGATCTTTTTCCTTTGATCCAAAAAATATGTAAGATAGTATTTGTTTGTATACAAGGACATACAAAAGGATTTGATTGGATTTTGTGTGTGTCCAACCATATCCAACCATAGGTCCAACCATGTCTAAAGTCTAATCATATCGAACCCAGAAATTCAGAAAATGTATTCTAAGGAGGGGTAGGCCTGTCCCCCCTTCCTTTCATACATTTTTGACTCTTCTTTTTCTCTCGAGCCAAAAATTACTGTAAGAAGTTTGTTTTGATCCTTTTTGTATACCAGGCTTTTGAGCCGAACAGCATAAAGAATATAGCGGTTTAAACAATACACAACCAGAGCACACAGAAAAAAACAAACTAGGAAAACAAAAATAATCAAAACTTGTCAAGATTGTTTTTGTGGCTTTTGTTTTTTGATTTTGTTGTTTTTTTTCTGGTGAATCTTGTCGGGTTGTTTTTGGCGATTCTGTGTTTTGATTGTGTTTTTTGTTTTTTATGTGTTTCATTTTTTGCTAGAATCAACTTTCTCTGTTGAAGCCGGTGTCAGACTACAAGGGCAAATGGACAGAATTTTGTGTGTATCCAACCAAATCTAACCAGGACCACATCCAATCATAATTAACCCAGAAATGTATTCCAAGGAGGGGTGAGCCTGTCCCCCCCCCCATTCATACATTTTCGATCTTTTTCCTTTGATCATTTGATCCAAAAAAATATGTAAGCCTATTTGTTTGTATACAAAGACACGCAAAAGGCTTTGATTGGATGGTGTGTGTATCCAACCATATCCAACCATAGGTCCAACCATGTCTAAAGTCTATTCATATCGAACCCAGAAATTCAGAAAATGTATTCTAAGGAGGGGTGGGCCTGTCCCCCCTTCCTTTCATACATTTTTGACTCTTCTTTTTCTCTCGAGCCAAAAATTACTGTAAGGAGTTTGTTTTGATCCTTTTTGTATACCAGGCTTTTGAGCCGAACAGCATAAAGAGTATAGCGGTTTAAACAATACACAACCAGAGCACACAGAAAAAAACAAACTAGGAAAACACAAAATAATCAAAACTTGTCAAGATTGTTTTTGTGGCTTTTGTTTTTTTGATTTTGTTGTGTTTTTTTCTGGTGAATCTTGTCGGGTTGTTTTTGGCGATTCTGTGTTTTGATTGTGTTTTTGTTTTTTATGTGTTTCATTTTTTGCTAGAATCAACTTTCTCTGTTGAAGCCGGTGTCAGACTACAAGGGCAAATGAACAGAATTTTGTGTGTATCCAACCAAATCTAAGCAGGACCACATCCAATCATAATTAACCCAGAAATGTATTCCAAGGAGGGGTGAGCCTGTCCCCCCCCATTCATACATTTTCGAACTTTCTTTTTTCTTTGAACCAAAAAAATATGTAAGATAGTATTTGTTTGTATACAAGGACATGCAAAAGGATTTGATTGGATGGTGTATGATGGTGTGTGTATCCAACCATATCCAACCATAGGTCCAACCATGTCTAAAGTCTAATCATATCGAACCCAGAAATTCAGAAAATGTATTCTAAGGAGGGGTGGGCCTGTCCCCCCTTCCTTTCATACATTTTTGACTCTTCTTTTTCTCTCGAGCCAAAAATTACTGTAAGGAGTTTGTTTTGATCCTTTTTGTATACCAGGCTTTTGAGCCGAACAGCATAAAGAATATAGCGGTTTAAAAAATACAAAACCAGAGCACACAGAAAAAAAAAACCAACTAGGAAAACACAAAATAATCAAAACTTGTCAAGATTGTTTTTGTGGCTTTTGTTTTTTGTTTTTGTTGTGTTTTTTTCTGGTGAATCTTGTC